TTGTAAGCAATTAAACTACTGGCAGTTAACTCGAAAAATATCGCGGCAGTTAACTCGGAAGTTCATGTCTGCGGTGAAAATGCCGGTTCGCTTTTCTATGGCGTGCAACGCAAATTCAGGCCCCCGACCGATATGTGGGAAAGGTACTGGTGGTGTAAGTGTATCCTTCTGAAGGAAGCTGGGATGGTGTCCGAGAAAATGATACCCTATGGTGAGTAAGTTCTGCTTTCGCGATTGCAATCACAGTCACAGTGGTTTTATATGAATAAAAAATGATATCCTATGGTCTGTAAGTTCTGACTTGGCGATTATAATCACAATGGTTTTATTATTTTATACGAAGTAGCGTTTGTCAGGAGACGAGGCATATCATGGTCCACATTCTCAAGCATAGCTGACGTGATGGAGAGTCTGGTCTCGAGGTTTATAGGAATTCGAAAGAGGTTCCCCTCGAACAGTGAAGGAAAGCATTTGGGCCGAGTTAGATTCGCTCCGGAGAGCCTTTTTGGATCGGTTTAGGATCTGTTCTGGTCAACTCGGTGAAACCGATCTTGAACTCGGACCGGATATTGATTGGGTTCGTCCGACACTTCGACTTCTTGTGGTGTTATCTCCTCGCTTATTGGCAAACGCCGGATCACATTAACCTGACAGACTTTGGTGGGAGTATGCGGGACCGGGTGAACCCGTACGCGCACAGTCACCCACGTCGGTATCGTTTGAGGTTTGGGCTGGTCTGCACAGTTTTCGAACTCTTGAAGTGCATTTCTGCGCCAACCGTCGCCTGCCACGGTATTCCTAACACCACATCATAAGCTTGCACATCAAGAATGATCGTGTCATACAGACACTGAACCAGGTCGACCCTTATAGGTATGTTTTTTATCCTTCCCTTACAGTGTATGCTATTTTCTGTTGCAGGCACATACAACTCATCCGGTCGGAGGGACTGAATCTGACCTTCTCGACCCAAGTGTTTCGTGACCCCCCAAGAAAGGATTACCGTTAATGATCCGGAATCGAGGATGGCTGACGATGGGTTTCCTTAAACCTCGCAGTCACACTCAATACTTTTCCAAATAATCAGAGAGGCCCGGAGGAATACCTCGGGCTTTTCCCATCGGTGGATTAGTGGCCTGAATCATTCTGACACGCGCCACTTCATGGGGGCACAACATGGACGGTTGACCCGCTGTTACCGACGGTCGACTTTCCAACGCCAACTTCTTCAACATAAAAATGTCGAGTGTTTTTGTGTTTTTTTCAACGTTGGAATATTGATTTGGATTTTGACCATAAAATCAATATTAAACAATACTTTCCAACGTTGGAATATTGGTTTAACATGTTCGACAATGGTTCAACATCGGTTCAACATCAGTTCAACATATGCCCAACACTGGCCAACATTGGGGTAGTTCGAAAAAAAAATGAGAGTTTATTATAACGTGTTTTAATTTGCACTGATATGTCTATAAACATGAGTAGGGTCAAGATACGTGCTAGTTTTTTGCAATGACGATTTCACATGGTGTCAAAATACCTGTTTGTCCAACACTAATGTGGTATCGTCTGTTTAGAAACTGCATATGTATGTCTCTCGAACGTAATTCATGACTATGCGACTTAAAAAAAAAAAAATGTTTTGTAGAAATGTCTAAAAATACACGTGGTCATGGATTGCGTTCTTATACTGTCTATTTTGCCTCTCTCCATTGGTAGTTTATAGTTTCACTATAAGTTTGTTTTCATATATGCTATGTAAAATATACAAGCTTATGGACTGCTCAAGTTTTTCCTAAATAGGAAAAACTTCATGACCACATGATTTTTTGAATAGAGTGTGAAGCTTTGATTCTAAAATGCCACATGTCGCTGGATTGCACTGTAACTCCCCATCTCCAAGTCTCTCTATTCTCTCCACCCCCTCCTCTGTGTGCGTGGTCATGGACTGCTCTGTTTCTTATAGGTAGGAAGTCCACGACCACATGACTTTTTAAACATAACGTTAAGAT